CATGACTTTGGGCTCCATCTGTTGTAACTGTCGTCCGTGGCAGGAGAGGTGATGTGTGGTGATGGGCGGTCACTTGCTGCATCCGGAGCTCACGGCTAATATATCTGGTGCGGCCCATGCCCACAGTCTGCAGGCTGGAGATGTCGATCTTGATAAAGTTGCTGGGTGCCAGTTGTTGAAAACCAGGTCCAGTTCCATCATCGCTGTGCTCTGCTAGGTTTCATCAAAAAGTCCATCCTTCTTTAATCTGGGTGATACTTACTATGATACTACTGGTATAACAATTATAACAGTGATAACATCCTTGCTCAGACAAGGCTAGTGATTCCCACAGTAACTGTTACTCCTGGACTTTATTGCAACTTCTGAAAATCAGACTCGTAAGAAAGTGCAGAAAGTATTTATGTTTGCTACTTCAGAGCATACACTCTACCAAATACATAAAAATTGCCTCCGCTTGCAAGCCGAGAAAACACAGAGCGTGAGCAGTTAGCCGTCCGATTGCAAGTCTTGCTGCCCTCTGGGAAACACCGGTAAGAAAATAGACCCGGCGTGAAAGTACCAAGGCCTAGTGGAAAAGTGTCACCACGTATTAGAGGGCTGCTAAAAACTCTGGTTTTATGTGGCTAAACTCAGGAGAGAATAAATTGATGGAGTGTATGAGAAGAACTGCAGGGATTGTGAGGCCAGCAAACACTGAGCTGTCACCAGTCTTCTCTAATAACACTTTGCTGAGTGTTAGGTGTCATATTGCAACAGCAAGTCCCTTTGATAAAGTTTGGCTGTACCAGGTAGTGCCATTTTTCATGGCGTCTTGGATGCAGGTTGCCACTGATTTGTCGGCAGATCAGTCCCTCCTTTGTAATCTCCACTACAGGTTCTGTTGTGTTGCAGTAGTCTGGGTGGGAAAAGGTACTCCCACTGCCAGAAAACCCTTGATCACACTGGTGGAGAATTGCCTGCCTGCGATCTGTTACTTGCCTCTGGTGCAGTCTTGGCTATTTCAAATGCAGGATTGTGCAGCAAACTGTGAGTGGCTTGGGAAAGACCCTCTCTGCTACCGAGCTCTCCCTCTGCTGAGGATGCTGCATGCCTATTGTATTCCTGCTTGTCTTTTCTTGGACTCTCTTAAAAAACAATTGGCTTTACATTGCTGATGAAAGTGTACCAAGGGCCTACAACATGTGTGACATCTACAGAAGTATTTCTTGATACTCTTGGATATTTTTTTAAACTTCTGGATTTCTTTTTTTGCTCCTATTTTACTACTTTGCAATGTGAATTCTCTTCCCTTCTGCTCCACACAGACTTTTGAGAACCTCGTTTATTTGCTAAAATATGTAACTAATACAGTATATTCAGAGGCTCAGGCTCTTGCCCACCCAGCATTGGTCCAGATGCAAAGTGCAAGATTAATATTAGGATAGCTCCTGTGCTGACCTTTTCTCCTGGCCAGCTGCCAAAGTTGTGAACAGATCTGCACACCAGTGGAAAAGTATTCTGAAATTAGAGACTGAATTTGCTGCTGCCAGGCAGCAAATGCTCTGCCCTGTACCAAAGGAAAAGCACAGTGCAACAGGTTCACGTTAGTGAATGTTGGATGGTGATGGTGTTTTCTTCTCCAACTTGTTTCCATAATGTTCTGTTGCAGTAAAGTAACTCTACTCCAGTATTTAAAAATAGCTCCTTTACAATGGCACTTGAGAAAAAGCTAACTGTCTGACCATGCTGATGTTTCTTTTGTGGGCTGGTGCTTTGCTGTGAAACTGTTTTGTTGCTGTCTCCCCATCCTGGGCTGAACTGCTGAGCAGTGTATTGTCTGGGAAGGCTGTTGTTGACTCTCTCGTGTTTCCAATACACACTAGATACCCTGCTATAATTCTTGGGCTTTTAAAAGGAGTTACGTCTTATGATGTAACTCCACTGTAGAACAGAGATAGCTTTGTATAAGGCCATTAACCTCACTGGGTGGAGAGAAGGGGGGACCTGGCCTGCCTGAGGTTGTCCAGAGCTGCCTCAGTTCCTTTTTCAGAGTCCGGATTTCTAAATGTGAAAGCCTTGTGTATTTCATTAACTGGTTGTATCCTATCCAGATTTTTTTTGGCTGTGGAGGTAAGGGAAAGTATTAATTTCTTTATGTGTGCAGAAAAAAGAGTATGATTTTTTCCTTAAAAGATATAATGAAATTATTCTTCACAGGAGAGATTACATGGCTCATGAAGTGTTGCCACAGAAACTTAAACCATCTGAAAATTATATCAAGAGTGATGAGCGTATGGATTTGACTTCCACTTATAAACAAGATTATAATTTCTACCCTGTCTCTCAAGTACCTCCATGCCTCCCCTCTGTGACAAGACACATCTGCAGTGCCAAGATGGACACAACAACCACCTATAAAGGTAAGTGCTCTTGCATCTTCTTTCAGGACTTCACTAGTAGCTTCATTTTTCAAGAAGACAGATCGAAATAGCATGCAGTTGTTCTGTCTTTGTGTGCCAACAAGCTGTGCAAGAACAACACAGACACAAATTGCTGGGAATACAGCCCCGCATTAATGCTAGCATTGGGATCTCTCTATATTCACCTCTTTTGCATGTCTGACAGGCCTAAAGGCATCCTAGGTAGAAGCAGGTCCATGTGAAGTTCTGCAAGTGGTCCCAACAGCAGCATCTTCAGGATATAGTGAACATACTCTTGCTATGGTCCACAAGCACTGGTGGACCATAGACTGCAGGGCTGGTCCACACATTCAGTGGCTCAAACACATTGAAAATATGTAGAATTTGCTAGGTGTGAGCAGGTCCATGAAGCATGGGACCCTTTTTGTGTGTGCTGCAGAGTTAGTCTGTGGATGTGCAAGAGACATTTACAGGAATTACGAACACACAGAAATTCCACACAAACATCCAAAGCACTCAAGCTCTACTCCTGGTAATTCAGGTGAACTGTGCATCTAACTATGCCCTTGTTTCTCGGTAGCGGTAACTTGGTGTAGGTGGTTTGTCTTTGTGGCAGCTCTGTTCCTTCCAGTTGCAGTAACTGTGCTAGTTTTAGTAGGAAGTCATAAGCAGAGAACCAGAGGATATTGCCTCCCATCTGCACAGCTAGCAGCTAGCGAACATTGTTAGGCAGATAGCTAGCATTTGTGTATTTCTTAAAATAGTTTTAAATTATTTTGCTAAATTTTAATTTTTATTATGCTGTGCAAATATAAATGGTGCTGGCGTTGTCGCAGTGTACACAATTTTTTTTTCCTTAAAATTCCACGTGATGAAGTTAGAAAATAAAAGATATGTGCATGCAGTGTTGAGATTACGCAGCTGAAATGACTGAAAGTTAGATTTTCGTGCATCTGCTTGTTTGCAATGGCACAAACTGGACTTTTTACATTAAGCACACAGGAAATACTGTCCATTTATAATGCCTTGAGTCTTGAAAAGTATCACCCACAGATGCAAAATACCCATGCTTACACAATTTTAACCACTTTGTTTTGCATAGGCAATGTCACCAGATGGTATTCATTGGAATAGCTTCAGTAAAGCCAATAAAAAAGGCTGCTTTGCGCAAGCAGAGGATCTTTCCTTCTGTGTTTAGATATCCTTAAATTCTCTGTATCTGAACCACATGTGTATCTTTGTCTTTTATCAGTGTTTAGGTCAGCACCTAAACTGTTACTCCAGAGCTCTAATAAAAAGTATCACAGCCACATTTGGTTGTAATTTGCAGTACTTTTGAACTGCAAATGGAAATCTTCATCCAAACCTTGTGAAAGATCAAGTTGCATGCTGGATCAATTCACTTTTAAAGGCCCACAAAAAATACAAGCTTTCATTGTGCTGTTCTCTAAGCATTGCTAGGTTTTACTGATCACTACACAAGTGAGAAATTTTGAAACATGCTATTCAATTAATTATCATAATTTAAATATTTAAGCAACATATGAAACAGTACTGCATTGGTATTAAATTACCATTCCTACTGTATTGTCATACTCCTTTGCACTAAACACACCATATCCCCAATGACACTGTAGGTTTAAGATTAAGCTATTACATATCACATTTAATGTTAGATGACTTTGCAGCTTCAGGTTTCAAAATTCTCATCTCCTCCAAGCTACACACATAGCTGTTTCTATCCATCTGCAGGTACTTAATCTAATTTTAGTTTTGTGTTGCTTGGTTATAGTGAGATGTGCCTAACCCTCCAATAACATATGGTTCATATCCTCCTTTCCCTCCTGTACCCCCTAATGTTTTCAAGATTGTGCTACATGGGAAACTATTAATATCTATGGGAGAAGAATTAGAGTTACAATAAAATTGTAACATATTTTGAAGGAATAGTAGCACTGCTGGCTTACACTAAGTAAAATAAATTCATAATGCCTATGAGGTCTCAGAATGTGTAGAACTTGTAAATTTTTAAAATTGAAGACAGATGGGCTTGCTTGTCATATTTTGAACAGGTTGCAAAGGCTATGGTTATGTCCAAAATGCATAGACTATTTCCCAGCAAAGACGATGGGAGAACCTGTAAAGTTTTCTGGTAACTCTTGTTTGGACTCTGAAATGTCAGATCTCTGAACGAGCCCTTGCTTAGAGATGGGCTGAATCTCCTTAGCTTCTCACTTTTTGACATTTTATTAATATATTCCCTGTAGTGATATATGTTCATATATGCTTGTGGTTCACACTGCTGGACCATCTCTTTTACATCAGGAAAATGATGTACCCTAGGCACAGGCACAAGGTCAGCATCCCACCAAAGTGGTGGTGCCTGTTTATCTCCTATTCCCCCAGAGAAACAGGAGCACCTGGGGCATTTAAACACCTCTGGCACTAGCAAGGCACACAGCCCAGGCTTCAGTGGCACCAACAGCGGCAAATGAATGTCTGTGCTGGTGCATGCAGGCAGGCCCGTGTTCTCAGCTGAGTACACTAATTAGCAGCATGAGAGCAGCTCTGTAGCCAAGGGCCAGGGTGCTCCCTGGGAGGTGCACGGCATTTCTGGCTGCTGCTTCCTCCCTTGTGCCAGGGCAGAGCAACTTGGTTTGAATCAGAAGGGCTTTAAATGGACACCTAATTGGGGCAAAATGTTACTTTTTTTTCGGTCAGCTTCACACTGTAATGAACACATCCTTTGTGTAATTGTGTTTGTGCAGTACTATAGCCACTGCCATTCAAAAGGAATAACTCTGTTTGGACTGGAGAGTTCAAATATCCTGATACCTAATCGCATCATTTACTCTCTAGTACTTTGAAATCCAGACTTCCTTCCTGTGCATAGTCAGCTGGAAGCTTATTTGCCTCATGACTCGCAATGTGGTTTGAAAGCAGTGAAAATTAAAAAAAAAAAAGACTTGGGTTAGCTCCAAGACTATTTCATTTCAACTTCCTACCAGTAACCTTAATGCTGTCTAGGGGAAGTTGCATGAGATTGCTAGGAAGTGAAAAATCAATGGTCTTGCGGTTGCAGCACTGGTCAGAGGGTTAGGCGGCTTTGCAATGGAGTTCTAATGTGAAAGAGTGCAAATCTTTTTAAGCCTCAGTTCCTCATTTTTTTTCCTGGTATCCTGCCGAGGAAGGAAGATAGGAATGTCTCTAAAATGTCACCTAAAATGCTTTCTAAGTCATGAATTTGGATAGCAAGACTTATGGAGTATGGACAATTTCTGCTATATGATTCAATGCTTCAGATCAGTGTAAGCTTGGTCTGAAAATTCCAGCACACAGTTTCTCTAAAAAGGAAGAACAGGAGAAAGAAAGAGTTACAAGCTCCTTCTTGTTTCCTGCTTGTGCTGACAGCAGGCGTACCACAGAGAGCAAAGCCAAGAGCCGAGGAGATGCGACACAGCACAGCTTGCTGACACGAAGATGAGCTGCAAAACCCTTAACTTAGCAAACAGTAGGCAACATCACATCTGTGCAACTGAGAAACCAGTTCATTCCCAAATGAGAATGTACAGAGAGGAAGGGTGGCTCTGCAACTTGACCTTTAAAGTGTGATGGTGGACACCTAAGTGTCCTTGCCACAGAGATATGGGAGGAGACACCTGAATAGCCTTCTGCAGACATAGACATGCTCTGCCTGTTCTCTGAGGAAGCCACAACATAGCTGCAGGAAGGTAAATGAAGGAGGTTCGAGTCAGTGCCATGATACTCAACTTTCATGATCTCTGGTTGTCTGAGCATGAGGACAGCACCCACTCAGTCACCTGCAGAAAATGTCTCTGCAAGACTGAGAATGTAATTTAATGCTCCGTCATGATATTTCACTGTCTCTGTAGGTATGGGTGGGTACACGACTATTTTAATTCCATTTTCTGTATAGATGCTAAGCATTTCCAGGGTTAGCACACTAGTGTATAATGTGTACTACAGCAGCTCTTTTAATAGGATTTGTCAATCATTACAACATCAACAAATATTTATTACAATAGAAAATGTAATAATCAAAATGTAATAAGGTATATGTCTAAACTCATGAAGGAACTTCCTTCGAGCACTGAGATAGGATTCCACTTCTGTTTCAGATGACTATGTGCTGTGGAATGAACTGAAGACAGAGCTGATCAGACCAAATGACAGGTTTCGCCCGACAGAAGAAAAATTTGACTACAGAACCATTGCCCAGGATGACTATCTCTACAGGGGGCCGGTTGCCACTCATAGCTGCAAACCTCTGAATCAGGTCCAGAAAAGTAAGGCTCCCTTTGATGATACAACCAGCTATAGAGTGAATTATGTGCCACATCCTCTGCAGAAATGTCTTGCCTGTAGATGTGAGACATACAAGGCCAGCAAGGTCCCATTTGATGGCCTCACTACCCACAAAGTTTCTTACAAGGGGCTGGCTGGTCAGCCAGCCAAGCTGGCAAAACCATACCAGCCGAAGGTTCCCTGTGATCTTCCGTTTTCCTCTACAACTGAGTTTCAGGAAAAATACCAAGCTTGGCCACGGCCTCCTGTATTCACCAAAAAACCTCGTGTATATCTTCCTTCTCTAGAGAAAATGGACCTTCACACCACTACTCAGATACATTACAAGCACCCAAATGGCAAGCCAGCCAATATGTGTCGACCTTTCGTGCAGTTCAAAAAAGGTACTAAGCCATTCAATAGCTCTTCTGTAATGAAGGAAGACTATAAGCCTTGGCTGTGCAAGAGAGTAGAACCTATCACTCATGCTCCAGAGCTGACTTTGCCAGCAAAACCAATGGATTGCTTGACTACCTTTCAGACCCATTATGTGCCTCATCCACTCACAGTTACGAAAAGCTATAAACCTGGCTGGTCGGGCCCAAAGCATCACACTCCGCTAGATGCTAAAACAGTCTATGCTACCACCTACACACCAAAGGGCATTGTTAGATGTCTGGCCTCTTACAAACACCCACCAGGTTACATCTTCAAGGGAATCGATGCTGAAGGTCACAGTCTCTATATCCCTGCTTCCAAGAGTGAGAGCCTACAAGGTGGACACTGAAGGAAAAAAAGAGTGAATGTTGCCTTCTTGGAAATGGATTCAAAGAGCAGGGCCTCAGGGAGCTACAAATGATAGCTTGACTTTTTTTGTAACCTTCTGTCAAACCAATCACTGATTTAATATTTGGAGAGCTCTTAAAATAAACTTAATTCCCAGGCATGGTTTTATTCTGTATCATTTGCACAAATGAAAAAAGTAAAATCTAGGGAAAAGACACTATGATACTTGTTTCTCTGTATTTTTTTTTCTTTTTCCCACCGAAGTCTTGCTCTTTAATTGAGAGAGAAAACCTCCTCCTGAGATATTAAAAGTGAAATCTTGTAGTAACATACATTATTATTAGCGTAATGGGGGTTCAGTCGCATCCATAATGACAGCGGTAGAACAGCCTCTTCAGATCAATTACATGCTGTGAAGTCACACTTAAAAGTCACAGCTGGATAACAAAGTCTGAAATCTGGCCTTATCAGTCACCCCCATGAAAGACATGTAGAAAAGGTACAATTACTGAATAAATATTATTGAAAATTGCTCCTTCATTAATTGTGCCACCGTGCTGCCCAGAGCTAGGCTATCAGATGTGAGGATGTCATGCCAAAGATGCCACTCCAGGCTGACAAATTAAAAGGGAAGCTTTTCAGTAAAAGCTCTTCACTGCAGGATGCAGACAGGGTACCAAAATTGTCCAAGGGTTGAAATTGTCGTGTGTTGCTACAGTTCAGCCAGCAGCTGGAGTTGTATTATCTTTTGGATAAGGCCAATATTAAGCTCCTGACCAGAACTGTTCATTTCTGTGTCCAAGGTGCTTTTCTGTAGGCTTACAAGTGTTACATTAGCACTATGAAACATACTGGCTTCTTAAGCATATTCTACATTCCTAAATCCCCCTCTCCCTTACTCCTGGCAGCTCTGGCAGTTTGCTTAGTATTTAGCTCCAATGCCAAGTAGAGCTGTTGCATGCTGGAGGAAAGACTTGTGTCTCACCATCGAAGCGGCTGTGTTTAAAGAGGAAGTGGAAGACAATTTTCTGTATAAACATACTTTGAAACTTTTGAAAAGCTTTGAAACCTGTTGGGATAGAAGTCTTCCATAAGTGCTTGCAAGCTAAAGCCAAACACATTCCCCATCTGGAAATGTGAATGCTTAACCCTGAGGTTGGGAAGCCACTGGAACCACCGCCCTAGAAGCACAGTGGCTCTGCATAATTTCAAGTCCTTAAATCAGTCTTAGAGGCCTTTTCTAAGCATATGCTGTAGTTCAATGAAAAATTATGTGCTTGCAGTGGGAACAACTAGGGAAGTCCCTACAGATTACATTATAAAAAAGGGCCAAACACTGTAGTCATTGATGGCTCCACAGAGCCTTCAGAAATTCAGGAATCTGTAAAATATTTATTCACCTGTATTGATCTAGAGTATGTTTGGCATTTTTTTCAGCTCCTGCTATCTTAGCAGCCTTCTTGAACCTTGATGTCTTTAACGTTGAGCTTTGAGAGGGAAATATTTTTTCTTACCCATGTCTTTTTAGTCATTTTTCTGATTTTATTTTTCAGCCTATAATTCTGTCAATTCTGAAACAGAGTTTATATGAAAGAAACAGCTGGGGCTTGTGACTGCAGAAGAGATTGTTCTTTTATTCACGAAAGCTCCTGAACTGTTCTTTCAACTCTGGTATAAGACTGGCAGCAAATGCAGAGCCAGCAGTGTCTAGTGTGTAAATCTATCTTTATTACAGGTTTGTGGGGTTTTTTGCTATATGGAAGTTAGTCTTATCAAAATGAATAGCAATGCAATATGTTACTTAGCATGGGTAATTGCTGGATTTTGAACATTAACAACAGAGGTCTTGATTTTACAAGCAGTGGACCAGCTTACAGCAGCATCAAACAGATACGGCTTGTTTCATTCCAATACTTTCACAGCATGAGACAAAGGTTGGTGTTTTTTTCCTGACTTGTACCTGAATGTATAAAAAACTTCTTAAAATCAGTATATGATAACACTAAGGAACAATGTGGGTTCACTTGAATGATGAAAGGTGTGGTTCCATGGAAGTTAAAGCTGATTAAAGCTTGGGCTTCTGTGGTCTCACCCTTCACTCCACCTGCAGCTGCATGTTTCCCGTGTTGTCCATCTTTCTGGTAGCAACATTAGCGCTATCTGACTGCATCATGGGCTAGATCAGGAGACTGACCTGGCTGAAGGCAAATCAGTGTCTTAGTCATCTTAAGACCCATTTACTTTATTTTCCTGAACCAGTGCACCACACAGTTGCACAGTCACCAACCTAGATGTGGGAGGTCAGTGCAGAAAGAAACACGTGTCTCAGGTAGCCCAGACTTGGCTTGGTTGGAGCTGCTGTGGAAGTGCATCCCCCACTCCCAAACAAGTTGTTCAATGCCTCCTAACTTGGTGTTGCCCTGAAGCAGAGCCTTTGTGTGCTGCCTGACCTCCCTTGGCAGAATGATTTCTTTGACCCTGTCTCTGTCGGCCTCCTCAACTTCAGCCGAGGGGAGTGCTGATCACAAGGTGAGCCTGTCCATTGCATGGACAGGGCTGTGTTTCTGCTCCTCCTGGCCTCCTGTGCAGGCAGCAGTCCTCCCTTTGCTCTGTGATGCAGTTACAGTAAAGCAACGTCTTTCCAGCCTGTAGTTTAATTTTGATTAAAATGGGCAATGTCATTAGAAAATCAGCATAAGAGAAAATTATAATTTGGGGGAGAATTGAGGTGCTTAACACAGAAAATAAAGATGGGCTGCACTGCAGTACACAAGATTTGGTTACTCTTCTCTCACAGGGGATAAAGATGAGCAGACATTAGTTTTACTTTATATTTGTGCCAATTAAACTTAACTTTTTCTTAGAGTGGTCACAGTCTCAGAAAGAAGGAAGTGCAAGGACGAGTACAAGTTAGAACCCCTGAAAAAGAGCTTAAAAGGTCACTGAATTGCACCACATGTTTGTGTAATTGTTTTTGAAGTTACTTACAGAAGGAGGAAAATGAAACTACACTTGTGTGCATGGCAGAACTAGATGCTACTGCTAGATGAATTAGCACTTGTTCTGAAGCCTCTCAGATGCTTTATAGTGATCTTGCCTGTTTTGTGGGATGAGTGAAAAAAATACTACCTGTCCAGTGTCGGAAGCAGCCTTGAGGAGCTCATGAAACTTGCACTCACGGTGCAGCACAAGACAGCACTTGTCACTCCCTGAACAAATGGGAAGAAAGAGGGGAGTCAGCTGTAATCAACATCCTACTTTATTCATTGGTACTTTTGAAGAGCAGATAATGGCATGGATACCTGAACACTGGCCTAAGTATAAAGGCTACTATCAAAAAGTGTTTCAAAAGCCTAAATGTAATGATGAAAGCAAGGGTCTTGATCTTTGCCAGGGTTGAGTAAGCCAGGGCTACTGATCTCAGGGCAAAGCACAATCTGTTAGGCCAAGTTTTAAGCACAAAAGCTGAAAGGAAATGTCCAAACTAAATTTTAGAAAGGTAGCAGCTTCCTGGAAGGTCCTCAGCCAGGAGGCAGGCAGGACTGTGCTCCCTGCCTCAAAAGCAGGAAACAAAATAAAGCGACCTCAAAAGAAAACAAGTTATCTTGAATAACAGGGGAGATAACAGCTGAGGATTGATTTGCATGATATCAGCCTTTCAATCACCTGTGCCTGCAAGGACTGCAAACTCCAGTGCCTCACATCTGCAGGAGAGAGTTATTCCACCTGGAGAAGATTTGCAGTTGGCAGTAGGTGAGAGCTCAAAAAAAATCAGCAAATTATATGGTCTAGAAATATGAACAGGCAGCAAATTTGTGAAAAGTTTATCACTACAAACTCTAAAAAGGGCTTCACCCAATGCTATAGATTGCTAGAGAGAGCAAATTGTCTGCATCTCAAGTGTTTCAGAGGTATGAAGAAAGTGTTGAAAGATAAGTGGTGTGCCTCAGCAAGGACTGAGGAAGTTCATATCTCAGAGGGAAGAAATATCGATCCTGGGCATGGTACTCTGGTAACAGAAGGCCACTGAACTTAATGTACGAAAAGGCAAACACTTTTCTTGCAAGACAAGAATGGAATTTCCTGAGGCATGATAGGTTTTCCCGGAGGGAGCCATATCATCTCTTGGAAAGAGATATTTGGGCAGAGAACTGGTCTATGGGTTCACTGGGATGGGAAATTTCCATAACGAGTTTTCTAAGCAGAGTTTGCTTTTGGCTGATCTTGTTACAAACCTCTCTTTCCCCTGTTGTACTAGTGTCTCCTTCTGTCTCTTTCCCGTATTGGAATGAGTAGTTGTATAATTTGTGCCTCTCTTCTTGATTTTGTGGGAAAATACTGCTTTGGAGCAACCTGATCTTCATTTCTCCATCTGTCCGCTTGTCTGTCCCACAGATGTCCCGGGCTGCATTGAGCAGGGAAGCTATAGGGTAACTCTTAAAGAAGCAATGGTGTGTTTGGCTCTGTATTTTTTGTTTCCACCAGCTTACTAGCACTGTTCTTGCTGGTACAGAGGACTGTCCCCAGACAGGCAAAAGGGCTCATCAGGCACTGCCGAGTGACATTGTATGGGCTCAAGGGTGCTGCTTTTCTGGGTGAGCAGGCCCCTGCTCTGCCTTGCTCTCTGATAAAAAAGTGCCTGTGGGATCCTCCCTGCACAGCTGGATTTGATTTGCTGTGATTTGTGTGTAGTGGGCTAAGAGATTTTTCATTTTTGGTAGTAAAATCACTAGGTTGTGTGCTATTAGTTGAAAACTGACTCCGTCAGTGTTTCAGTAGGTAAAGTGTTTTAACAAGCATGCACCAACCCCATGGGCTATTTATTCAAACCAATAATTTATGCTTTTTTTTTAAAAAAGCAGCATATTGAAAAGGGTGGAGGGAATTCTTCATATAACCCAAACCAACTTACTCCTCAGACTCACCATTAAAAAATTCCTTAAGAGAAAAGAAACCCGTCCTGGCTCCTTACTTGGAGAGCAAGCTGTTCATGGCCTGCCT